TTGATTTATCTGTTATTTGGACGGTTATATATATTACATATTCATATTTTATCGCAATCCTCCAAAAAATTACTCGAGATACTCTCCAATTGACTCGAAGAAGCCTCGAGAAGTGAAACGAAAGCAGGTTCTCTTTCGAGGGTGTCGTTCGAATTCTCCCCCTCCCCTCACTTTCCCCCCAATTTATTTCCTCGTATATATATATCGTACGTTTTAATAGCCTTATCGGCTCCGCTCTGAATCGCGATGATATCGTGGATCGACATCAACCGCGCATCAACGCGTCTCTGCCCCCGCCGATAATAAATTCGTCGGCCGCGCTCTGGATCCCCCCCCCCCCCTCGTCGACCGCTCTCCAACTTCCGTAATCGATGGATCTGCGTGGAGCGATCGCGCCGCGATACGAACGCCGGTGATTTCAACGCTCGCGGAGGAAACGTTAAGGAGGGGGAGGAATGTTAAATAGGAATCGTGACGCTTTCTTTTTTCTTTTAAATTTCTGTTATTCCGAGGAAATACGAGTCGAGCGATTTTGTTGGGAAAATTGCGCGAGTGTTTGTTTTATTTTTTTAGATAGAGAAGAAGGAGATTCGTGTTTTTTTGCAGCAACATCGAGGGTGTATCGATGCTCTGGAAATTCTAGATCGAAGTGAACTTGTCTTCGTGAAATAAAATTGAAAATTAAAGGGATATGCCAGGGATATGGATAGTATATGACCGATTATTTGGAAAAGTTTTCCTTTTGTGTATAAAGTTACGTGTATATATTCAGTTTCGAGGGGAATTAAGGAATTCGATAAATCAAAAAAAAAAGTATTCAATCTTGCGGATACGTGGTCGCGTTTATGTAACTTGCGAGATATAGAAACTTTGGCATACGAGTGGTAAGATTTACAGTAACGATTGCGCTCAGTGTTTATGACACGCCGTGTGAAACGATACTATAATAGGATTGTACCGGTGAAAAGAGAAGTTTCGGATTAATGTTTCGGCTGTGAGCATTGTGTATATATATAAGTGGCGTACACGATGCGTAAAGTTTCGAGTCGAGAGAAAATTGTGTCTCTGGTTTTGTCTTTACCCGTACGATTTACATGTAGCGACGTAACGAGATACATGAATCATATCGAAACGCTCTATTGTATTCTCCTCTCTCTTGTTTTTACGACTTGGCTGTATATTTCTCTTATCTGTGCATCGTTGTACACGGTGCGCAATACGCGGAAAGCGCTTCCACTCTAATTAGGCGCACCAAACTTCTTCGTAAATTCTCTCTCGTGATATTAAACGCATTATTCGGGATCAGAATTTTACGGTTTATGAAATATTCCCTCGATAAAATTCAATCATTATATTACAAACGAACAAATGTTCCAAATATTTTTCGTCTGGAATGAAAAAACAAAAACTGTGTCTCTCGAAAGAGTGTTTCATCCACAATTATTACAAATTTGCCCAATTTCTTCCTATCTCAACGCGAACGTGAAAATTTAAAGCGTTGGTCGACGTTAACGCGAATATATATTGGATGTGGAATAACGTCGAGGGGAATCGGAGACGCGTCTGCCAAGAGCGTGTCTAAGCGTTCTCTGGATCGTGGCGACGCGAAATTCCGCGTGTCACCGGTGACAAAGTGGTATGTTCACCTTTTTTACCGCGCCTCCCCTCGAGGAAGCGTCCCGTCCCGCATGATCGACGCGAGTCCGGTGCCGCGCCGATGAAACCAGAAGTCCTTGATCCGTGGGCGATGCAAAACGATCGTCTCTACACCCGGAAGAAGGTGCGGTAGGTCGGCGTTCCTCCAACTTGCCTCTGTTTGCTCGTCCATCTTTTACGCTTATGCGTATATTTACGCTTATTTTTTTTTTTTTCCGAAAAAATATATGTCGATTCAAGAGGAAACCATTTAACCTTTTCTCGTGAGTCATTCGTACGGTGAAAAAGGAACGGACAAATTTAAGATTTTAAAAGATCCGTTCTTTTTTTGAAAAAATATACATCGATTCAAGAGGAAACCATTTAATCTTTTTTTCTCGTGAATCATCCGTATGGTGAAAAAGGAACGAAGAGAACAAATTTAAAAGACTCTGTTCCTTTTTTTTTTTAAAAATACCAAAAATCGTTGTATAGAAAAATTGTACGTAACGCGGAATATTTCCATCGATGGACGTTTCAACGATACTCGTTCGGTGTGGAAAAATTGAAAGAAGAGAAACGAGCGGTGTCGAGTTTCCTTGTCCACTTGCTCGAATCGACGTTAACGCGCCTGTCCTAAGAAGCGAACCCTGTTTCCCCGTTGTTCTTTATCGTTCCTGGAAAAGCGCACACGGTTGGCGGACAGGTACAAGTGTTAAAAGAATGGGCCTGGTCGTTATCGTAACCACCGTTGGAACCACCATCCACTGATTTTACTCATCGATGATCGAAACGAACGGAACGAAACGGGTTGAACCAGAAACAGCGTGGCCGGTGTTAACGACCGGCTGTTCGAACCAGGAAGAAGTGGTGGTGTGGTAGGTCAGGAATAATGCGGGCCCCTTCGAAATTACATTCCCTTTTTTCCCTCTACTTCGTTCCTATTCCTCCATTTCTTAAAAATTTGGAACAATCCAAGTCCCTTTATCCTTTTTTCAGCGAGGAAAAATCTTTTCCCTTCCCTTCAGGAATTTTCATTTTCATTCGCTCGAGTCCTTCCAGGCGAGGCTAGATTTCCACGAGGAAGAGATTACGTCGCTTTCTCTCGCGCCGTCTCAATCCCGCGGCATTGTTCGGCTTCTTCTTCTTCTTCTTCTTCCTCTTCCTCCAGATCTTCCCACGCACGTGCCTCTTCTGTACTCCTCGCTACGAGGCCCGCTGAATAATTACCAGATGAAGATACCGCCGCCTCGTGTAGGTTGAAATCTCTCTCTCTCTCTCGCCTCTTCCTTCTCCTCCTCGATTTTGCAACGGTACCGAACGCCGATGACGAGGAGGAGGAGGACGACGCGACGATCGGCCCACGATCGAGGCTTCCTCGACCCTTGGTGAACCGTAACCGCTTCCAGCCTCCCCCAAAGCGGCGCAGGAAACGCGCGTTTCCCTCGTAGGATTGCGGCCCACGCGAAAAAAAAGAAAAAGAGGGCCTCGATGGGTATGGAGTCACCATGGATGGATGGTTTTCAACGAGTTGTCGGGGCGATAATCGAACGCGGGAATTCGGAGCACGATAGCAATTAGAGGAGGGGAGAGAATGAAAATGTACGTGTTGAAGAAGGTTAAACGAGTGCAAGTATCTTACTGGCTGATCGTGTATATGGTGGTTTATATCTTGTTATGGCTGCTTATATTCGAAGCAATCGTTGGATTGTTGGTTTTTTGAAGAAAAATTCGTGTTTCTATCATTGTTGGTTAAAATTTTGGATTGGACGAAACTTAGGAACTCTGTTATGTAGAATGGAACGTGTATACGTGAAATAAAGAAATTTATGAAATTATGAGAGAGAAAGGTAATTTTCAATTTTCTTTTTCGAAAAAAGATTCGATGTATTTAATGGCACGGAGAATATAATGGTCCATTAAACTAATAGAAAGCGAGAAAGTTATTGAAAATAGCCGTGGCGAATTCCGAACGTTTAATTCTCTTTGCTTAGAAATTGGCTTGGATATTTGACGTGGGACGAAAAATAAAAGGAAAAGGGAAAAGGGAAAAGAATATTAACACGTGAAAGTATAAAAGATGGGAGTACTATTCGTTGGTAGACCAACCTAGCCAGATCCTTCTTTATAGAGTGGAAGCATAAAAGTAAGCCTCTCAGGAAGAAGAGAAGTGAGAACTGAGCGCAACGCAACAGTAGTTTACGATGATAACCTGTCATTTCGACATTTTACGAAGTGGATGAAACACGAGCGTTTTCTAAAAGTGTCATTCGTGTCTTGCACTTTCCTCTACGAAATCGAATGAACACGCGAGAAGAGAGATCAGGTCTCGAGCGAAAGGAGGGGAAGAAAAAAAAAAAGAATCGCAACGGCGACTAACTTCTTCTTCTTCTTCTTCTTCTTCTTCTTTTTAAGCTTCGTTTCTAATTAACGGCCGCACAGTGTTAATTGTCCATGGCTTGTCGCTGTGGGAGATTTCTGCATGGATTGGGCAGAATTCAAGGGAATTCTTTTTCACTCGATATATGCAATATAAGCGTTTCCACGAAAACGCAACAGAGTGATCATCGAAAGTGAATTCTTCCCGTTCTCGGTCAAACAGTCTCTCTCGAGTTTCTAAAGCTATAAAAGATACCTCCATAAAGCCACTTTAAAAATTATCTATTTTAACTTTCGTCGTAAATTTTATCCGTGACGTTACATGTTAATTTTCACTCTATCTCAAAATTTTCTACTCTTTTTAACTCTTGTATTAATCTTGGCGAGAAACAACGTGTCATTCGTCAATAATAAAAACGGAAAGGCCACGTTTGAAAAAAGAATGAATGAAAATTTGGAAATATATTTGAATACACTACAGTTCAGCTAAAACAGGTTAATCGAATAAAACTCTCGATCGAAGTAAGTAATCCGGATCAAAGAATTCGTAAAAGTATCTCGTAATCTGAATTAAGTGTTACAAATTTCTTTTAAAATGTGGCATGTTCGACATATAGAATGTTGGATTATTCAAATTTTTCTGGAACGAAAAAAGAATTTCTGATAAAATTCGTCCTTAATTTTCATTATTTTCAATTGAGCAGAACACACGCTGATAATTCACTTTTATTTTCCAGAGATGGCAGAGAAGATGGTTCGTCCTGTACGACGACGGGGAGCTGACATACTCTGTGGACGAGCACGTGAGTTTCATTAAGAAAAAAAAAAAAAAAACGAAAAAAACACCATTTATCGTAAACCCAATTCTCGATTCGTCATCCTCGATGCACACGACCAATCGATTCGTCGTCGAAATCCATTTTGCACCTGACAAATCCCTTTAACCCGACCCACTACGGTTTCATTCAGCGAAAGTGATCCAACGAAAACGTTCAAACGTAAACAACGCGATCCCTTTCTTTAATACTCAAACGTTGTGCCAACCGGAATGGACTGTTCTTTATAACCTGTCGCTTTATAACGTCCATAATGGCCCTTTGTGCGCGAAGGACGTTCAGATACGTATCATTCAAAAAAAGGATAGTACGAGAACGAAAGTACGGTTGATTTATCGTCGAATTATCCTTTACAATGTACGGTCCCCAAAAGTCGTTCATTCATTCGTTCTCGTTACGTCGCTCGAGTCGTTCGAACGGGGGAAGAAACACTTTGGTCGAGTATCTCGCGAGACAAATTCTCTCCCTCGAGTTCTCTTACTAGTTAGTTGGATAAATTATGCAAAGCAGAATTTTTAGCTGGTAAATTGAGCTTCTTGTCATCTGATTCTTTTTGAAAAAAACGGTGGATGTTGGGATTTATTTAGCTCGAAAGAGTGAAAATTTAATTAATCGTTAAATTAGTAGATTTTTTGTTGTACAATCATTGAAACGTCGAAAAATTATTACATAATATTGCAAGTTCTTTGAAGTACAATTAAGAAATATTCGAGGATTTCTGTCGCTCTCTCCGCAAAGCGCGGCAAGTGGCGGACAGTTATCACCGTTGGGGAATCGTGAACTGTCAGCCCTGGAACGTTATGGCAGGCAGTGAATCAAAAGCTGCCCCTTGAAACGGCTTCCTCGAAGTCTGGGAGCTGGGCAGAGGTCGAAGTCAATTGTAGTCAGCGCCATCAATACTATCGACCAGTGTCCAGGCCGATGTGGTCGGCGGAAGCGGCGCGAATCTCGCGGTTAAAAACCCTTCCTCTCTGACGTCGATCACCGTGGTTACGTTGGAGAGTGTCAGAATTGATTTAAACGAGAATCGATGGCTGGTTAAAGACCGTGAATTCTCCGTCTTCCGCGAATTTTCTTCGAGAACAACTTGGATCAACGACAGATGGCGTTGACGATAATGGCGAAAATGGCGGTTTCTCTCTGAGATCGGATAAAAGATTTTTGATACACTTCAACTCTAATTATTATATTTCTAACAAAGAATTTGAAGAAAAAAGTTCAACGCTACAATTATACCAAGTTAAAAATGGTTAAATATAGTTATACGCGACGTATATAATTGCATCTCGAATAGAAATCCATGTTATCGATTTTGCAAAGAAGCACAGTTGGCCAATTTGACTTAATTCGTAGTTACAAAAACTTGCACTGAAAAATTAATAAACGAATCTCACGAGTATGTATAAATAGGATACCGTGAAGACACGCGAAACAAAAAAAAAAACCCCCTTAATAATTAGCGGCCATTAGCCGCGCCAACCTTTGAATTCGTAAACTTTAGAGGAATCTCAATCGTGGGAAAGGATCGTCTCGAGTCTCCTTTCTTTCCTTCCCATGATCCATTACGGAGGGGGGAAAAAGAAAAAGAAAAATAATAATAATATTGGTAACAATAAGTTTCGATCGAAAAAGTGTATCCAAGGACTCTCCCATGGTCGTCGCACAATGTCTCTTCCCATAATCTGGAAACGAAATTATCGTTTCGTGGCCGGTATCAACGTGGCAACAGAGCCGTCTCCCGCCGATCGACATTAACTCGTATACGTAAACGGACCGGTACTTAAGCCGCGTAGAGGTTCCCGTCCACACGAGACGGACATTAAAGGCTTAAAGGTTTCGCACGCCGATAAAAAGTTTACACGGCCAATAACGCGCTGCACCAAGATTGTCACTTTCCTTGGTCGAACGGTGCTACCATCGAACTTTATACCGGATACGATCGGTGTCTATTACAGGCTGTGGACACGCGAAAACGGAATTAAAATGATGCGGTGTAAAAAGGATTCGAGGATGGGCGTCGATCCATTTGTGCGACGACTCTCGGATCCGGTCGCGGTCCACCTTAAGGTGGTTCTCCATTCGTTTCGAGAATAATCTCGGCCGAAAAATGCGAGGAGATGATAAGCTGCACGTAGCACACGTAGCGTGTTTCTCGGACGAGGAGGAGAGTCGGCGGCCTTGAGACGGAATGTGAAATTGGGCTAACGGGTCCCAGTGGCCTCTTGCGCATCGTTTTTTGCACGCAGATTTTTACCGA